AATACTGTGTGCAGTTTTGGGCCCCTCACTACGAGAAAGATCTGAGGTGCTGGATGGTGAGTCCACCACTTCCCTGGGCAGCCTGTTCCAGTGCCTGACAACCCTTTCAGTGAAGAAATTTCTTCTAATATCCAATCTAAACCTTCCCTGGTGCAACTTGAGGCCTTTTCCTCTTGTCCCATCTCACCTTGAACACTCCCACAGATGGGGTGTCCATGACTTTTCTGGGCAACCTGGTCCATCACCTCCCCACCCTCATCATGAAACATTTCTTATGTCCAATCTCGATCTCCCCTCTTCCAATTTCAAACCACGGCGCTTGTCCTGTCACTACAGACCTTGGTGAGAAGTCTCTCTCCATCTTTCATCTTTTGAGGGATGCTGCAGAAGTCAAAGCCACCCAGCTGGCCCTAGAGCTTGCTGCCTGAGAAACGTGGCCAGTACTCTGTCTCCCTACTGACTGGTAGAGGGTGGCCAATGGCCTGTGGGGTGGCTACAGCGATGGTCGCAGAGGTAAACCCCTCTGGGCTGCTGCGTTATGGCAGCAGGACCTTGCTGCCTGGGTAGAGCCCCATCACGTCGATGTCCGAGAGCCACGCCCCTGGAGAACGTCAACGCAAGGAGCAAGTGGACCAGGCGGCAAAAAATTGGAGTGGTTCAGGTAGCCCTGGACTGGGAACGTTGTCGTGAGCTGTTCACAGCTCGGTGTGTGCATGGGACATTGGGAGAGAGACAACGTATGGGTGGGCTGTGGAATGATTGCTGGAGGTGACTTATCTATATGACACACACCCCCCCCCCGCCTCAAGGGAAGGTCAACCTCCAGGCTGGAATGCAGTGGACATGTAAAGAATCGTTTCCACAGTAGTTCCCTGAGGAACATAACCTGCAACTTTAGATGTCAGCAACATCAGGGGAGCTTGGTGTGCCGACTCTGAAAAGTAACACGGAGGGTGGAGCAGAGCTGAGATGCCACGGCCAGGCTCTGTGATCGCAGGGATAAGGAACTGGAATGATAGGAACGAGAGCGGTTGGTCCCTGCATTGAATCCACTGAAGCAAGGCGGTAAAATAATGGGGGTTCTGTTGAGCTAATGCCCTACTTCTGATTTATATCATGTGCCCAGTTCTGGGGTACTGACACGTAACATCATTTCCTTTGGGTGAACTTTGGTCATTATAATATCATTATAATACAAAACCACACCTCCATCCCAGAAGTTACCCACTTCCAAGGTGCAACCACCCCCTCTGGAGCATGTGCTCTGAATTTTCTCTAGAATATACCTTTAAAAGCAAAGCGAGAGAACTTTATAGCAATCAAAGTAAAGGTATGTATGACTAGAGTCACTCAAGATCCACCTAAAAAAAAAAATTAGGATAAAAAGACCCCAAAAGAGGAAGACTGTTAGGGAAGACACCATCACAGACAAGTCGGGAGGACATCGCTGACTTCTGGGATCAGTCGACGGGCTGAACCTCTCTTCTTCCGCATAGGGACAGCTATTGGGTGAGATTCGAACACTCGGCTGTACCGAGTGCTTCCCCGGGAAACTTGGAATTCTTTAGAGCTCTTTTCTTTCATAACTGAATGTGCTTGTAGTCGACTGTATTATCATTTGCACGTGCTTTGCAGACAGTGTATTTATCACCGGCCATCCAAAAGAACCTGTACTGTTGCTTTAATAAACTGCGCTGCTCATTAATCTAGCTGTGATAATTTCTTAACGCAACCAAACTCCCTGAGTCTGGTAATTCCCGTGCGTTGAACGTGGCTAAGCTGAGAGAGCAGTGTGCTATAAGTGCATCTGTCATTGTCCGACTGCACTTATAGTGCTGAATTGGACATTACTCAGAAACGAAACCTAACCGCCCCCTGCCCCTCTGACATCTGAGGATAAGCTGGAATGCAAGGGGGGGCATTTTCTGCCAAATTCCTTTACCCTTTAATGCAACATGGGCTCATGATGGAGGGGTGGCCCTGAACCAACCACTGCAGCCATCGCGCAGGTCCTTCATCGCCATGAATAATGTGCTGGCCTCAAGCAAGTGAAGCCTCTGTGGTCTAAGGGACAGTTGGCTGCGCTATTCATGAGGGGGAGGCCAGCAGATTAATTATATCACACTGAGGCCAGCACCACGCACTTCCCACGGTGACAGTGACACCGGAGGGTGAGCGCATGGCTTTGGTACCCAAGACCCCGCAGCCAGGCCGGGCGACTCCCCCACCCCATCTGGCTCCTCTCTGGAGAAAATCTGCTTTATTTCACACAGATTTCTGTCCCAACAGGGCCACAGCCTCCCTCCCCCCACCCTGGCCACCCAATTGCTGCCCCTATCCCTGCACCCCCCATGCCTGCAGCCCTTT